GGTGCCCAGCCAATTGAGGGCGCGCAGGTCGACCGCATCCTCCAACAGTAGTGCCCATGTGTCGTGGCGCTGCGTCCACACCTTGATGGTCACCTGCGGCGACTGGGTGACGGATGAGTCGAGTTCGGCAAGCTCAAACAGGCGAAAAATTAAGTTCTAGCCGCGGTCAGCCGGGTCCCTTGGTAGCATCACTCTGGAACCGCACCGTCGCGCGTTCTTCCACCTCACTGATGTATATTGGGTCTTCCTGGCCCTCGACGTGCAACGAGAAGAAGGCATCGGCCAGCTTGTTGTCGAATGTCTCCTCGAACTGTTTCTGGCGCGTGGCTGGACTGGCATTGGCCAGGTTGGTGCTCCTGCGGCGGGCGGCGGGGGGCCGCAGGGCTTCGGACGACAGTGCATGGTGGAGCTTGGGGGTGTTCCGCAGGGCCTCGAGCTTCGCGGGGCTCTTGTTGAGGGCGGCGTCATCGATGGTGCGTCCGCGGGGTCGCGAGAAAGCGAGATTCCTCAGCGCGATGCCGCGCAGGTGCCGCAGTTTGCGATTTTGCGGCAGCAGGAGCGGGCGTTTGGACTCGGTCGACATTGTCTCATGTCGAGGTGGGCGCGCACATAAATGCAGCAGGTCGGGGCCGCGCAACCATTGGTGATGGTTAGCGATGTTTAGCAATGTTGATGACGACGAACCCTGGCTCGCCTGAGTGGGCGGGTTGCCCAAGGAGCTTGGGCCCTGGAGCTCCAATGCGTGAGCCAGGGTCCTTGGCATGCATCTGCGGCCCCCACAAGCTCCACAGCCCACATCCCTTCAGACCCTGTCACCCTCTTGAAACTTTTGAGCACTTCACTTCTTCCTTGTTTCCTTCACAGCCCGTAACCTCGACATGATGTTGGGGGTTGTGATTGGCTTCTAGGTCACACCCGGCATGATTGACCATTGCCAATTCACAAAATCAAGCATTCGACCACTCACTTTCGTCAAGATTATTTTCCATGGCTCATCTGATTCTGGTGCAAATACTCAACGTCCGACCCCGACCCCATCGGCAGTTTGAACATATGTCCCTCCTTGTATTGTTACAGCAACCGCCACAGCAAGCATCACAGCGACGCACCGGCCACCCTCACAACCCCGGCCGATACGGCTTATAATATGGCACCGCCGCCGGCGCGGGCCTCTGCACCTCCACCACCCCGCGCGCCCCCGTCCCCTCCCGAAACAGATCCCTCCCCGGCGGCGTCGCCAGCCTCTGCCCGCGGTACCATCCCGGGATGTCCCCGCTGCTCGTAAAGTCCCCGCCCGCGCTCATGCTGTTCTTGACGCCGTACAGCCGGTCCAGCTCCTGCTCCTCGCGCCGGTTCTTGCGCCGCCGCCAGTAGTAGAAGAGCGCGCACACCAGCATCATGAGGACCGCCACCGCTCCGCCGACGCCGATGGCTACTTTTGCGCCCGAGCTGAAGCCGCCACTGGAGGGAGAGGACGCGGGGTTGTTTTCTTGGAGGGATGGCGTCGAAGTTGGCCCACCGCCGCCGATGTCAGCGTTGCCGCCGCCTGCGGTCTGGGGATTGTCGTCGAGGATGAGAGTTTCCGGGCTGGAGGTCGCGTCGGTGTCGATCATTTGTGTTCCGGAAGCGGTGAGGCGGCTCTTGGATGAGGATGGCGATGATGTTGTTGTTTGTGTGGGGGCAGAGTTTGTGGTGGTGGGTAGATTGGTGGCGATCGCTGCTCTGCCAGTTGATCTGATCATGGGCGAACAGACTGAACGCCGTGATGGATGCCTTGGCGTCCGGGACTGTCTGGAAACCAAAGTCGCCGCTCTTTGCTGCCCTCGCAGGTCACGGTCGGTATCGTGTGGAAGTGGCCACCATGGTGCAGGTTTGACCGTTGACGTTGCCGCATCCATACCACTGGCAGAGGTTAGCGACGCCCGAGCTCTCTCGATCAAGGAACCGACCTAGGACAACACCCCGACTGCCGTCTCCCCATCTCGCAGCTTGAACTGCACCGGCCAACCCGACCCTCCGCCGCTCCCTCCCGTCGCCGAGCACGCTGTTGCGTACCCAACTGGGCAGTGCAGCCCTGGTGAGTAGAATCCCCAAACCGTGCAATGGGGCCTTTTGCTCCTTGACGCCTTTGGATGTCTGCGGCCAGCACGACGTGGCGTCGAAGGCCTTCCCTAGCGAGCATCCCTGCCCGAGGTAGCAACGTCCTTGTCACCGTCCCTAATAACCCTGCGAGACCACCGCGTCCAGCGCCAACAGCAACTGTGCACGCCGCCGGCGGTGTGAAAGTCGTTGTCAACGGCCCAAGGTTGGTGGGCGCCTGCCCGATAAGCCTGTGGCCGACATGTTGATGGCTACTGTCCAGATGGAGAAAACCGTTGCAGCTTGTCGCAATCAGGAAGCACGACCAGTGCCTCGGGACCGCGGTGGAGGCGGATATTTCAGGGAGGAGATGCCCCAGCAGACCCCCGACAGGAATGCCCCAAGAGGCTGTGATCTCCCTTGCGGACTCCATTCCCACGCGAGGCCGCTCCTGTCTTGGTCCTCGGGTCTACCGCGTTTCATCCCCCAACACGCGCCGTTCTTCTGCGCAAACTTTGGTGCCGACGAGCCCTTGTGTTCCCTCCGGGTTGCGATCACCGGGCTGATCTCAACGCGCGGGCGCCGATCTTCTCCCAGCCCGGATTTAGCCCCCGCATTTTCCAGCCCCTGAAGATCTCACTCCGGAACGTCGGCCAACAGACCAGCCTTTAACGGCGCACAACACACATGCTCTCGGGTGGCAGTTTTGAAACGGGCGCTCTTTAAGGTCTGCTGATACCCTGTCGGTGTCCCGCCCGGTCGTGCATCTGCCGTCGGGGACGTGTGGTTCGTCGTTGTTGAGTTCCTCAACTGCCGCCGTCTCCCGTTTCCTGGCAGCATCACGGTTGCATCCAACCAGCCAATCTTTGACTTCTTACTCCAGAGGCAGTGCAGAGCGAGCGGGAGCCCCTGAAGCCAGGGGTGCCCAATGACTCAAGTGATGTTTGCCAAAAATGCCCAACCTGCAGCGAGGCAGCAAACCCGATCGCAAGGCACGCTGCTCAGAATATTATTATTTTACCCAGATAAACAGACAAGGGGTTTTCTTGAGACGACCTGTTCTGTAGCAGCAATGATGCTGTTGTTGACTGGGAGCTACGACAGCCTGCGTGTGACCTGGCTGTCAACCATCCTTCGTCCTTTCTCATAGCGTCAGCCAATCACAACGAAGGATGGTTTGCTGTCACTGCAATGGACCCCTTCATGACCCCCAACCTCTACTCTCAGCTGCAATGGGGGACGGCAACAACAAGGCTCAAGAAGAGCGGTAGCTTGACCGACTCAGCAGCCATGACCTCTCGCCACGCGGGGTTGATGAACTCGAGCCGTGTGACGCTCCTTTGACAACGTCGATCCACCATTCGTAGACCTCCCCTCCTCACTCGTCGACGGCGTGACGTCATGCCAGCATGATCCGACCCGATTCATCTGATCCTGACTGAAGTCGTCGAGAGCATATAACCACAGCGCGGATAGCGCATTCTGTCCAGTATTCGAAAAAGTTCGATTCCGCTCACAACACCACACCACTAATACACCACCACCATGCGCGCAATGCAGAGGATCACCACCACCCTTCCCGGGCCACCGCCCTCCGCACCCTCACCACCCGCGCCACTACCACCACCACACTCCGCGCTCACCGCACCGCTCCCTCCCGGACTCCACTTCCCCGGCCACACCGACCAACCCGGGCACCCAGGCCATCTTCGGCCTCGCCCGGCACCCATTGGGACACCTCGCACCACACTCCCTACTCGCTCGACGACCGCGCCCGCTCCCTGTACAGCACGCAAATCTACGCCGGGCAGGTCAACCCGCAGCAGCAGCAACAGCAAGTACAACAACAGCGGCGCGGGATGCACAGCGGCAACGTGACGCCCGGCCCCGCCACGGGCGCCGAGACGGGCGTGCTCATCTCGGCCCAGATGTTCGGCGCCGAGGTCAAGGGCAACCCGACCGAGAGCGAGGCCGACGTCGCCGCCGACCGCTCCGACCTCGACCCGCTGCCCGTGGAGCTGCACCACACCATCCGCCTGGGGCCGGGCGACTCGGGGCCGAACCCCACCGAGAGCGAGGCGGACGTGATGGCGGACAGGGGGGGGTCGGGCATGGATCCGCTGTGGGGGGTGAAGAGGAAGTAGGGAGAACTTGAAGGGATGCGAAAACAGTTCTTGAGGTCTTTAATGTGGAAAGTGGACAGCGGCAACCTGCTGAGAAGAATGGCCACCTATGAGTGAATCCATGTGAGAGTTCGGTGGGTCGACGGGTTGGGAAAATCAGCTCCATATGGGGATTAAATGTTGATTTCGAGTGGTGGTCGGGTAACGTAGTCAAGAGAAGGACTTTCTGCCCTTGGAGTTTGAAACAAACTGGTTTGAATATTTTCAAGTTGAAGCTCTCCTGACAGGCCACTTTTCTGCCGTCGACCTCTTACTTTCAAATTGACCAGTCGTCACTCGTGACATGCTGAAAAGGACAAGAGCATGATTGCGAGTTGCTCAAAAAGGGAGCAGGCTATTGGGCTTTAGGAAATTGGAATTACCTGATACCTTACATAAGGTATGAGGTCGTTCAAGCAGCAACTGGGCACTCAATTGCCACATTCTCGTCTTGACATCAATCATGAACGAGACAACCTTTTTCGTCCGACTTACTCGTTGGATCGAGTTCAGCCCGGTTTTTTCCTCTGGCCGCACCAACCCACGATTTCTCGGTCTACTCATGGAACCAATCTTCCACTCTAAGGTATTAATTTCAGACCAAGACAACACAACTCACTTCAAAACTCCACCAGCAATCCTCCGCGCACTAGACTCGACCCACACACATCTCGCTCATCTCCACAACCTCTCCGATCTCCATTCATCTTCCCTCCGTCGGAGCCGACACACCAGAACGAGCCAATCAGCTCGGAGCAAGCCCGCATGGCTCAGTGGTAGAGCGTGTCACTAGTACTTCGCAATGACAAGGTCGTCAGTTCGATTCTGGCTGTGGGCAAAGAAGTAGACGAGCAATCGTCCGGCATCTTTTTCAAGTTTCCTTTTGCAAGTCAGTCCTCAGAATGACGAGGTCCGTATCTCTCTATATTTTAGACTGCTTTGACAGGAGAGTAGGACGGGTTGAGGGATTATCAACTTCGACTGGTCACTTGAAGGGGTGGTTCTTATTGATCAGAACGGAATACTCATTAGGTAACTTTGAGCCAAGCATATTTCGTTCAACTGGAACTGACAAGTAGAGTTTGTGTGTTGCTGCAAAGTCATTCCTAGGTGCAATGGGATGTCCACTTTTCCACCAGGTTCATCATGTTCAACCACCAAGCAAAGACGCCCCTGTTCAGGCCTCCTGCCACCCCTTACGTCCACTTCAGCACCGCCTTGATAGCTTTCCCCGTGTGCATGTCCTCAATGGCCTTCTCGTGGTCCTTAAAGTCGTAGTACTGGACGAACTCCTCCAGGGGAAACTGGCCCTTGCCGTGCGCCTCCAGCAAAAAGGGGATGAACTACACGTCGATCAGCATCACTCACAGCACACACCCCCAGAGCGAGAAACGTACCTTCTCCGGCCAACTGTCCCCCTCACAACACCCCACGTACTCCTTCCCATACGTCAGATGGCTCATGACATCCACAGGCACCTCCTTCCCAAACCCTGGCGCCCCCAGCGTCGCCCCCCTGCCCCCCGTCCCCAAACAATCAATCATATCCCGCACCACCGCGGGGACGCCCGTACACTCGAGCGCGAAGTCAACGCCATTCGGTGGGCAAATCCTCCGGATCTCCTCCACCACCTCCCCCGGCTTCCGCCCGCTCGCCAGCACCCCATGCGTGGCGCCCAGCTTCTTGGCCATCTCCAGCCTGCTCTCCTTCAGGTCCACCGCGATCACCGTCTTGGCCCCCGCGATCTTGGCCGCGGCCATCACGCCCGCCACGCCGACGGAGCCGACGCCGAAGACGGCCACGGAGCTGCCGGGCTTGACGCCCAGGGTGTTGAGCACGGCGCCGGCGCCCGTCTGCATGCCGCAGCTGAGCGGGGCGAAGAGGGCGAGGTCGGTGGAGGCGGGCACCTTGACGCACGACGACATGTGCGCGAGCGTGTGGCGGGCGAAGGAGGACTGGCCGAAGAACTGCGAGGGGATGCCCTGGTTGTCGGAAGCGGTGGTGCCGTTGGTCCCGGTGGTGGTGTCGGGAGGGGAGAGGTACATGGTGCACGTGCCGTCGACGCGCCGGGCGGGGAAGTTGCGCTCGTTGAACGTGTGGCAGTAGGCCGGGTGGCCCGAGGTGCAGGGCCCGCAGGACTGGCAGTGGCTGAAGGAGAGGAGGACCTTGTCGCCGGCGGCGAGATTGTGGACGGCGCTGCCGGTGGAGATGACTACGCCGGCGCCTGGACGTGCACGCCAAGATGATGCGGTTAGCCGACGTTGTCTGGGAGCATGGACGTCAAGGGTTGGGAGGTTGTGTATGCACCTTCATGGCCGAGCACGGCGTTGGGCTCGCAGGGCAGCACGCCCTTTGCGAAGGAGATGTCGGTATGGCAGAGCCCGGAGGCGTGAATCTCGACGAGCACTTCATCGGGCTTGATGGCATCGAGGTAGACCTCGCGCAGCTCAAACTTGCCGTTCACCTCGGGAAGCACAAGGGCGGTTGTCTTGAGGGACATGGTGGTACGTTTGCTGGGTGTCTGCCGTTCGTCTGATATTTGGTTCAGGGGTTTGTACGACCAAGGTGACGCGGTTGTTTTGTTCGGGTATAGTTATAGTAGGTAACAGAGTCATAGAGATGAACAGGTGGACAGCTCAGAGATTCTCTTTCCCTTATTCGCGGCCAGCCTCAGAAGGATTACCCAAGCATGACAGCACTCGTGCAGACGCGTGGAGTGCGCAAAGAGGGTCATACCTCAGATATTCTCCTCCTCATCCATTCTCCGCATTTTCGCTGTATAGTAGGGTCCGACACCCGCGTCTTCTGTTCCGGCTACGGAACTCGGCAACCCTTGTCTATCTTGTGCTCGGCAGTCTCCAGAACCGTGGGCGTGCCAGCGTGGTGGTCGGGGAGCGGAGTGGGAGTGGGGGTGGGACATGTGGGAGAGTTGCTCCTCTCAAACCCCACAATCCCAAACCGGAAACTTCAAACCCCATGGGGCTCCATCTCCACGAGACATGTTCGCCGTGTTGGAAACTCAAGAGGTTCCCGGGAGTGTGGGCTGGTCGCGTGTGGTGTGGAGTATCGACTCCATGATGGGTTCTGATGCATCCTCCAAAGCGGAGATCGGGGTCCATGAAACCTGCTGCTGCGGATTGTGGGGAAGATCGAGACTCTGTGATTGACCAGTTCGGATGAAGGATGAAGCTGAAAAGCTTGGCTGCCCAAGCCCAAGCCAGGTTGCCGTCGGTTCCGGACTAGCGGGCTCCAACTGCCGGGCTCGGAACCGTGCTTGTTCTGGGATCAGCGTGATGCATGTGGTTGTGGGGAGAATGAGAGCGATGCCTTGAGTCTGGAGGTATGCTTTGACTCGTGAGAGCAGTTGTGACAAAATGTATCGACGAACCATGGCACAACTGACGCCTTGGCGCTGTCAGGATCGTGTCCGGAGACCTGGACATCACCAGGCCCTCAGCTGTCTGTTCAAGCCACGCGAGAGGACCAACATTGTTGATTCACGGTCATCAAGACCTTTACCACCTCTTCTCACGCATACCGAGCGAGATGCAACGCAGACACTTGTCTTGTGAACACGTGCAAATCCTGAACCTCGTGCAAGGGAGAAGTGACATGGGAGACATTCATCCTCCTTCTGTTGGCGACTGTTTCTCGTTTCCGTTGACTGTTTCTCCATTCCGTTGACTGTTTGTCCTTTCCGTTGACTGTTTCTCTTTCGTTGACGGGCATCGGACAACACCTCTCGCATTCTCGTGTTGGGAACCAAGACTCTTAGATGATAACGCCATGTAATTTGGAAATAGACGAGAAAAGTCTGCAAACCATACACCCAATGCCAAAACACACAACCCAACAACTCCCACCCACTAAACATGGTATCACGAACCCCCGCTCCACTCATACCTTCCTCGCCTTCCTCTCCAGCGGCGAAACCCTCCACTGCCCCGTCGCGGCATCCAGCCACTCCCTCTGCGCAGCCGCCCACTCCTCCTCCACCATGCGCCGCCTGGCCTCCGACCGCGGCGTGATGGTCACGGGGAACTCCTCGGGCTGGCACACGAACCCCTGCGTCAGGCGCTCCTGGTCCGGCAGCACCGGCTTCCCGTCCTTGCCCACCGCCGGCGAGAACTCAAACGCCCACAGCATGCGCGACACGCCCAGGAACAGGCTCCGCTCGGCGACGTGGATGCCCGGGCAGATGCGCCGGCCGGCGCCGAAGGTGAACTGGTCGCGCTTAGAGGCGTCCGGGTTGGCGGCGGCGTCCGCCAGGCTCTGGAAGTCGTCCTTGTACCGGTCCGGGTCGAAGCGGCGCGGGTCCGGGTGGCGGGCCGGGTCCATGTTGATGGCCCAAACGTTGTTGACGACGCCGGCGTTCTTGGGGATGAGGTAGCCCTCGTACCAGTCGTCCTGGGTGACGGCGTGGGGCACGGCGCCCATGATGGTGGTGGGCATCCAGCGCAGGGACTCCTTGACGATGGCGCGGATGTACTGCAGGTCGCGCTCGTCGTCCATGGTGGGCATGCGGTTGGGGCCGACGACGCGGTCGATCTCCTCATGGGCTTTCTTCTGGACTTCTGGGTAGAGGATCATGGCTTGGACGAAGGCGTAGAGCGTGCTCGAAGTGGTGTCGGAGCCGGCTTCGAGCAGGGTGCCGGTGATGTAAGCGGCCTGGTCGTCGGAGAAGCCCTCGGCTTTTTGCGAGGCAACCAGGTCCTCGCTGAAGCAGCCCATGATGGTGCCCGCCTTGGTCTCTTCCTTGGCCTTGAGCCAGTGACCCAGGTACAGCGCCTTCTCCTTCTTGTGCAGTTCCTTCGCCGTGGCGCGCACGGGTAGCATGAAGTCCGGCAGGAAGCGGAGCCAGGGGAAGAAGTCGACGAGCGCCGCCAGGCCAGTCTGGTTGAGCTCGGCAAACTTGGAGAAGCCGTCGAACAGCTGCATCATCTTCTCGTCCTCGTACGTCGACGACCGCCAGCCAAACACCATGGTGGTCGTGAGCGAGTTGGTGTACCGGCGGATGTTGTACATGCAGCGCTCCGGCTGCGTGATCATCTCGTACAGCATCTGCTTGTTCTCGAGCATCTGGTACGGCACGTACGACTTGGCGGCCGAGACGTTGAGCAGCGAGTGCACCAGCTTGCGGCACATGCGCCACCTCGCGTCGTATCCCATCATGAGGATGCGCAGGTCGCCGCTGCACAGCGTCTGGCCGATGTACATCTCCTGGCGGTGCGAGTACATGTTGCTCTTCTTGTCCAGGAGATCCTTGACCGCCTTGTCACTAGAGAGAACAATCATGGTCTTGGTACCGAGGATGAGGCTGTAGACCGGGCCATACTCGCGCGCCCATTTCTCGAATTGAAGATGGGCATCACGTGTGGGCATCTGCGCATGGGTTAGCAATGACCAACGACAGGGTCTCACGGTGCTGCATACCTGGTGCAGGTTTCCAATGATAGGAAGTGTCGGTGGCCCAGGGGGCAGGTTCTTCGGACGTCTTCCAGAGAGCAGAAGCCTGATGACGATGGCGACCGCCACCACGACGGGCAGGGCATTAAGGAGTAACGCCATGCTGTAAACGAGACACGCAACGAGGAGGATGGGGTCAACGATGAACTGCACCCGGTCAACTCGCCTGCTGTCTACGAGTTCGGACGAGCAGAGCTGAGGGGGCAGGCTATTCAAGTACTCGTTTCAACATCGGGCATCATGAACTCTGATGCATGCGGTCCCCCAAACCCCACGCAGGGTGGTGCTGCAACCTGGGGCGTTGGTTGGTATCGGGCCAATGTGGGATTGGTGGGCATGCCTTGTCTTGAACCTGGGGTGCATTAGCGCGGA